CCGCGTGTACTACCAATGGCCCACGCTGGCGCATTTATTATATGAGCCCGAAACGTATATTTTATGATAAATTTAAGATTGAGAAATATATTATTATTCAATTAAAGAAACAACGTACAAAATGCAGTGTAGGCAAAACAAATAAGCTTATTTAAATAATTTATAATTAAACAAAAATACAGAACATAGAAAAAGTATAAAGTAAACCAAATACTTTTATATTAAAAGTTGATAATTAAAAAAGCATGTTGTTTTTGTTTTTTTTTTTAAATAAGGTATTCATAAATGGAGTTGATTAGGGTAATCACTAAAGAATGTCGCTACTTGTGTATTTCTTGCCAATTGATATACAGTATAACTGTCGCATTAGCTGGTCAAGATTTCGCCTTGCTAGCTGGCCGTCGCTATCACCACCAGTTCTTAGAACTGGCTTCGTGAAGTGAGCCTCCGACATTACATATCTAAATTAAACAAGGACCTCGATATTTCGTATCAGGTATCCGTATCCCACTAGCACTCAATGGAGAAGAAACATACTCGAGATGTAGTCACGAGCCGCGACCAGCTAACGCGACAAAAATACTGTATGTATATGCATTTTCCTTATAACAAAAAGTGCAATGTTGCCTTGTTATCGACAGTGTGCCTTCTTTCCTTTCAATTTTGTGGCATTTTGCAGTGCTGATTATAATCAAATGACTCAAACCTGATCGCTACGCCGCGTGTATCATCGATGGTATGCGATGTAATAATCACTTTTTACATGATAATAATATATCAACCGATAATATGAAATATTTTATGACAATGCATCTGTTTATACTTAAAATATCAAACAGCCTGAATGGAAAATTCAGCGTGTGATACACGGAGTATAACGTACTAATAATTTATTTTATTTAAATAAATAAGCATAACCATAAAATCTTATTGATTCTGGTCACGATCATTTGTTTAAAAGAAAATGTAATTCGATAAAAATATTTGTTTACTTTGTATGACATTTTCTATACAATTTTCTGCATGAATATTTTATGTATATATTATTGTTGTCTATTTTTCACAGTTTATAAATAATTATTTAAATCTTTTCATAAGACTCAGTTTACATATATCATACACTTTTCTACACTAAATAAACTAATTTTTGTTATTTGAGTAACAATTTACTTACCTCACCATTGAACTAAGTTCCTGAATAATTTCTTGTCTATGTTGTTGAACCCTAACAGTAGCTGCATATCGAGATGGATGAGCATCCATGCTAGCAACTACTGCAGCTATACTAGGTTTTTTGTTATCTCCAGCAGGAGGATGAGTTACATCAGCCCCAAAGAATATAACAGGCTCATCAAACACCTTCGGCCTAATAGTGGGTACTAAAATACTATTAATACCACCTAATTTTACATTGATTTTTAGACATAAATTAGACAATGTTTGTGGTGATGTTTTATTCACATTTTTTGCTTGTACGCACTGTGTTGCCATGCCCAACAATGTATCTCCTACTCTTTTAACTTCAGCTGCAGGTAAATAAAATATACAATGTATGTAGAATAATGTTACTGACACTTCATATTTTAAAATATAAAATGTACAATTACCATATACAGGCGTTTTTCCAGGTAATATAACACAAACAAGTTGCAGTGATGAAAATGTTGCTTTTAAATATCTAAACATGGGCTCTACTTGATCAGGCCCAGTAGCATATTTACAAAAACATGGTTGCCCAATAATTGGCATCCCAGCATCATTGCTTATTCTTTGTAATTGTGCTATAAAATTACGTATTGCGTCATCCCGTACAGTTCTTTGTGGTGCGAAGCAAGCAATTGCCCATACTCTGATTTCCACACCCGTAAAGAATTGCTTGCCACGCATATCCCAAACACCGCCATTAGGTATAGCCTGCTGCTTCGTCTTTAGCAAAAGAAAATAATAAAAAAGAAATATATCATAGAATATCATAATATATATTTTTTATCAGAACAAATAAACAAGGAAGATGCACCAGTATATCTATACAATTCATGCAATCATTGTTTCTTTATCCTTTTTTATACAGAAGCAAGGTAAACATTACTTATGAAAAAATAAAAATAAAAATTTATAAAAACTGCAAGAATAAATTAAAGTAAATAAACAATAGTTTAATTTTTTTACTGCATAGAACAGAACTGATAGCATCAGGCTGTAGCTAGTGATATTGGACTGTACATGTAATGCAAACTATATCAATAACAAATCGAATTTTAATTTATAGAATGAAATAATGTACTAAAAAATAATTATCTCCTCTATTCAAGTTCTATTGGACTTGGAGGAAGTTTCAGGGTTGAAGAAAAAATAAAGGATATAAGATATAAAGCAGAAAAATGAGATTAGGAATGTAGAAAGTTAAGTTAGGTAATTAAAGGGAGATGTCGATAAAGTAAAAGTGGACGGAGAAATGAGCGGATGAAAAGAAGACGGGCAAGTGCAAACAGCTACTACCAGAAAAAGCTGGTCGTAATATTTGAAAGAAGGAGGAGAGAGTGGAAAACAGGAGAGGATAGCAAGAGTGAGATGTAAGAATTTGGAAAAGCAGGATAGGTATTGGGAAGAAGCGCAAGCAAGAAGATGCGAGTTGCACGGGATAAGACAGGTATCATTGGAACATGGATAAGCGAATGCAAGAAGACAGAAAGAGGAGTACATAGAGTACCAAAGGTTTTAAGCAGGAGAAGAAATGCGAGAGTAGAAGAATGGTTGGCAAAGATAGAAAAGAAAAAGAAAGATTATAGTTAGAAATTAAACAGTAAAGGCAGAAATGAAGAACACAGTGGACTATCAGCATGGATTAGATAAGACTTAAACTAAAATGTAACCAAGCCCATTTCATAAAAAATATATCTACCTATTTAAGTTTTATTAATTTTATAAAAATAATTTGTTTTCATTACAGTAACAGTCCATATACCAAAATCAACCAGGTCTAGAACCCATGCATTCATTTGGTAACTGTTCATTTTATTATAAGTACATACATATATATAGGATGACTTTTTTAACTGGGTAGGGTGGACTATTTCAGAAGGACCTGAAGCTACTGAAAAAATGTTCTTACAAAAGTTGTTTGGTATGATGGGGACATAATGTAATATAAATAGTTTTTTCGCGGGTAAAGTAATAGGGGAGATATCAAGGTCAAGTTTAATGTTTTAAACAGAACGCTATATTTTTTCATATTATAGCGTTTGTTGGGACAAATTTAAAGATATGCTACACGAAGTCATTTAGTTTTATGAAAAATTTGTAAAGTAGTAAAGAATCGGGGAGTCTGGTCAACACGTATCACACGCTTTCGGCCAGCTAAATTTACTTGACTGTATCACTAATACAAATTCTTCACGATTTTATAAGTTTTCATAAAATAAAATGACTTAATATGGCACCTTTCTATGACATAGAAAAATATATAGCATTCCATTTAAAAAAATAAACTTGACCTTGAAATCTTCCCTACTACTCCACCTGCAAAAAAAAACTATTTATACCACATGATATTCCCCACCATACCAAGCAATTTTTGTAAGAACATTTTTTCGATAGCTTAAGTTCCTTCTGAGATAGTCCACTGTGTCCAGCTAAAAACAGACACCCTGTATATATATATATACAGGGTCGTCCACTTAACTCAAAACTCACGTGCACGAAAACAGATGAGAATGGCAACAGCGCTACAAGAATTCTCACTACTACAATTATATGTCGATAAATCTGCTATCTATGAGCTGTTGCTAAAAGTATAAGGTTGTGTGGATATTAGTAGAGGACCCAAAGTGCTTTTGACTGCCGCAGGAGGATTTCACATTCGACGTAACAGTTAAATGCGCACGGAATGCGCTCTTACGATATTCAGATGGCAGCGAACATTAAATACGTTCTGTAATGTTTATAATGTACAACTCATGATGTTTGTAAGAATGCAAGTAATTACATTGTAATTGCACAATTACTTTTGCAAGTAACTAGATTGAGTTATATAGGGAAGCGCACACGAACGGACGAGTTTGTAGCGATATTTCGTGAACATGAAAAGAGAAAAATGATTATCGTTTTCTTCCTCATTTGTTACGTGCATTTGAAATTTTCTCGCGGCAGTCAAAAGCACCTTGTGTCCTCTACTAACATCCACACAACCTTACACTTTTAGCAACAACTCATAGGTAGCAGATGTATCGACATATAATTGTAGTAGTGAGAATACTTGTAACGCTGTTGCCATTCTTATCTGTTTTCGCGCGCGCGGGTTCTGAGTTAATTGGGTGACCCTGTATATTTATTTATTTATTTATTTATTTACTTATTTATTTATTTCAAGTAGAAAAGGTTAAGGCTAAATGTATTATCAATTTAACCCTCGCACGATGGTACTGGGTCCAAACGAAGAGCCGAGGGTTAAGTATGACAAAACTTATATTCTTTCACATGAAATCATACTTATTAAGATTCTTGTTTCAATATAGAAAATGTACAAATCTCAGAAAGAAATTTAACTATTTACTAAAAATTTCATGATAAACAATGAGCGCAAGAATATTATTTATATTTCTTCTCCTCAAATCAGAAAAGTTAGAATATAGTTAACAACTCTATGTTATGCAGTGCCACAAAAATATATGCCTACCAGACATAATATAAGAGCCTCTGCAAATGTGTGATTTGGCTAGACCTGACTGATTGAGTTGGAAGTTTCTCACCTGTCCACTGAGGGAACTTACGCGCCCTCCGTACTGTAGTTTAGGTGGAGGCAGAACACGACCTCTAACTTCCATCATACTGTTTGATATTGTCAGACCAAATTCTTGAACATATACATCATTGTTAAAATCAGCTCTTCTAACTAAGTTGTTTATTTCTCGTTCACGATCTGGAGCAGAGCGAGCTGTAGCTTTTATCATAGTAGATGTCTGCATGTCAGTCAATTTCTTGATGCAACGTTGTCCAGCGACAATATTACACACCTGAAAAAAAAATATATATAAAACTATCATATAAAATTAATATATATAAGGTGCTTCAAGATTACAAAGTATTCTGAAATAATATAAATTCCTTATAACAAAAAGATTCAATAAGTTCATTATAAATTGGAGATCTATCTTATATCAATGATATACTTCCTCACATTTCTCGGCTTTCTATTCTAGCTTCCATATGTATTTTGAATTTATAAACATAATATTATTATTCTTTTAAAATCAAATGCAATTTTTGTCTACCCTTGTGTAACTTCTAATAAATATTCAGTTAACATCACACGAAAAATTTAAGATAATTTCATAAAGTATTAACGAAATAAAATTGTTTCTACAATCTAAAACAATTTTTTCACCCAAACTTTAGCAAAAAGTTGTCATAAATAACATAGGGAAACATTATTAA